GCACACCTCACAGGTGAGAGGACCCCAGGGTCGGCCCAGGAGGAGGTGTCGGGTGTCCAGGAGAGACCAGACAGATGCCCCAGCATGCCTGGAGACAATTCTGCTTCCCTGGGACACTGATTCCATGGGACAACCTCCACTCACTCACTCACTCATTCATTCAATATGTGTCCACAGAATGGCTCAGGGCTTGGGCCCATGTATTTTTCATTTTGTTCCTTTAATAAATGCTTGTATAGTGCTGACTACGTGCCAGGCACAGGATGTACTCTACACAGATTAATTCAGCAAACCCTAAGCTAGCACTGCCAACAGCTCTGGTTCCAGAGACAAAAATTGAGGCACACAGAGATTACTGGACTAGAGTGTGATGCCTTGGTTCTGCCACTTATGTGCCTTGAGGCCCTGGGCAAGTCACTTAATCACCTGTGCCTCAGTTTCCCCTTTGTAAAGCAAGTGGTGCAACAGTTAAGCACTTGACTGCCAACCAAACCCACCCCGCAGCCCTGAGGGAAAAAGACGTAGCAGTGTGCTTCTGTGAAGACGACAGCCAAGAAAACCCTGTGGGGCAGTCCTACCCTGTCACCTGGGGTCACTGTGAGCTGGAATTGACTGAACAGTACCCATCCGACAACTGTGCCTCAATTTCCCCACCTGCAAAACAGGGCTGGGGTGAGTTAAGATCTGTGATAAGCAAATGACTTTGCCTCTGTGCAGCAGGGTCCCCTGCAAATTGGGGAGGAAGTGAGTTCATATAGCATCAGGGTGGAGGGGCAGGGAGGGGTGGGGAATAGCCTGGGGTCCTGCAGCAAGCCTGGGAAGTGGACTAACCCCTTTTCTCTCCTCCCTCCCCAGGGGCCAATGCTAGTCTGATGGGCAAAGGGGGCCTACTGCTGTGGGAGACACAGCTAGGCCTGGCCTTCCTGAGGGGCCTTGACTACCGCAATGGGGCCCTGGTGATGTCCCAGGCTGGCTACTATTACATCTATTCCAAGATGCAGCTGGGTGGCGTGGGCTGCCCACGGGGGCTGGCCAGCAGCCTGCCTATCACCCATGGCCTCTACAAGCTCACACCCTGCTACCCCAAAGAGTTGGAGCTCTTGGTCAGCTGGCGGTCACCCTGTGTGTGGTCAGTGGTCAGTCAACCCCCACGTTTGGTGGGACAGCAGCTTCATGGCTGGCATGGTGCACCTGGAGGCCGGGGAAGAAGTAGTCGTCCGTGTGCTCTACGAGCATGTGGTCAGACTCCAGGACAGAACGTGGTCCTACTTTGGCACGTTCATGGTTGATGGTGAATTGAATGGGGATCTGGCAGGCAGAGATCTCAGAGGGTGCCTCAGGAGACAGAGAACCTAGCACAAAGCAAACTTGAGGGGCCCATGGGGAGCCCCGCTACTCGGCGGATGGAGAATTCAATGGGCACCATTGGGGCCAAGAACTAAGCCACTTGTAAGAGTGAAGAGCCAGCGGACACCTCCAGAGGACTAAGGACTTCAGATTCTGTTGTGGACAACACTGAAGCCAAAGACCCAAAGTCTTGGGGGTTCTGTAGGCCCCCAAGTGTGGGGTAAAGCTAATTTGCCTGGTATTCAGGGAGAAGGAATGGAGGGAATTTATGCTTTTGCTTCAGAATAAAGTGGAACTTGGGGGTTCAGGCACTTGCCTGGAGAAAGGAAATGTCACTGCCCACCCTGTCTCATGAGTGTGGGTGGGGGGAGATTCATCATCAGGACTCATTTCTGTCAAGGGCCCAGCCCAGCCCCACCCACAGTCCTAATCACACACTCGAGTCCCACCCACAGGCTTGTGGCCACACTTCAGCCTGGTCCCTCAACATGATACCCAGAGACATAAGCCCAGCAATGTTAAATGTTAACATTTAGCACCCAGCTCTCCTGGGAGGGGGCAGCTTTGTAGTGTTTGCCAGTTTCCATGGTGTAAATCCAGCCATCATGTAGATTTCTAGCTACAATATATCATCCACTAGTTGACTGCATCACACCACTGCTAAGCACACACGTCCCACTAGGGTGGAGGTTCCACTGAGTGGAGACCATAGTGGTCTTGGCCACTGCTGCAAACCCAGCACCCGGCCCATGGTCTGGCGTGAGCAGGCACCAGGGAAGTGTTTGCTGGTGGAAAGAAAGAGCAAATGGAGATGTAGTCACACCTACAGCATGGCAGGAAGTTGACCACACAGTTCCACAGTCTCAGGAACTCTTACACAACCACAGACGTGGACACTCAGAGCATAACATTCACACACAGCTGCACAGTCACACACAAGCACACAGGTCACACCATCACAAACAGTCACAGTCACGGTGTTATAACATCATAGTCACACATGAGTCACAGGACAATGTTTCAAGGACACAGTCACTGACACCACCTCATGGTCATGGCCATCACACATAGCCACACAATCATACACAAGGCAGACCACAACACTGCAACCACAGCCACACAAGTCACTCCTGTCACACACAACCACACAACTGCACACAAGTCGCAGCTTTGCAAACACACAGTCATAGACAATGTTATGACCACCTATGATACAATCACACATAAGTCACAAGACAATGTTGCACCCACAGTCCCAAACACTACTTGTAGTCACTGGTCACACACAATCATACTTAAGTTACAGACAGCATCACGGTCACACCCAGTCACAACCATCCCATCAGACTTCCACAAGCTGCATCACAATCCAACCCAGCTGTGTACACAGCATCACAATGACAAAACTCACAACATCACACACACACACACACACACACACACAGCCTGGCCTGAGGTTCCTCCCCAGCCAATACCATTGGTTCTTGATCATATACCGCCTCCTGAAAAATGTGAACATCAACCAATTCTTTTTGGTACAGTGACTGTCTGTGTATCCTTCCATTTCCTTTTGATGCTTCCTGCATCACCCAATATTTTCCCCATAGACTCTTTCCATATTGCAACTCAAGGCTTGAATTTTTTTCTTCAGTTCTTTCAGTTTGAGAAATGCTGAGGGTGTTCTTCCCTTTCAGTTTTCTAACTTCAGGTCTTTGCACATTTCGTTATAATAATTGCCTCTATCTTCTCAAGCTGCTCTTTGAAATCTGTTCAGCTCTTTTATCTTGTCATTTCGTTCATTTACTTTAGCTACTCTTCATTCAAGAGCAAGTTCCAGAGTCTCTTCTGACATCATTTCAGTCTTTTTTTCCTTTCCTGTCTTTTTAATGACCTTTCACTTTCTTCATGAATGATGTTATTGATGTCATCCCACAATTCATCTGGTTTTCTGTCAATTGGTTTTCAATGTGTCAAATCTATTCTTCAGATGGTCTTTAATTCAGGTGGGATATAATCAAGGTCATATTTTGGTTTTTATGGACTTGTTTTAATTGTCTTCAGCTTCAATTTGCACTTGAATACAAACAATTGATGATCTGTTTCACAGTCAGCCCCTGGCCTTGTTTTGATTTCTGTGTGGTCATATTGAGCTTCTCCATCATCTTTCCACAGACGTAGTTGATCTGATTCCTGTATGATCCATCTAGTGAGGTCCACGTTGCAGCCACCATTTATGTTGTTGAAAATATATATATTTGCAATGAATAAGTTGTTGGTCTTGTAAAATTCTATCATGTGATCTCCAGCATCATTTCTATTTTTCTAGTATTTTCCAACCACTAGTGATTCTTCTCTGTTTCCAACTTTTGCATTCCAATCACCAGTAATAATCAACACATCTTGATTGCATGTTTGGTCAATTTCAGACTGCAGAAGTTG